CCCCCCCCCCCCCCCTCTCGGTGTGCCTTCCTCTCTCTCTCACCCCCCCGGGAGGAGGGCATCTTCAGGCCGAGTGAGGCCCATGCCGATCGGCCGGCCACGCAGGGAAGCATGCACGCGAATTGCCAACCCAACTGGCCGCCGATCGAAAATGCCAATGGTCATTCATTGCACCACATCTGGCAACATGCCTCCACAGAGCGGGCGCCACTTGGCGGGCCCTGTCTCGATCCGAGTGCGTGTAGACATGTGCGCGGAATGCATAGGCAGATGTCCAGGGAACAAAAGGGATAGAGAGAAAGAGAGAGAGACAGACATCTATTTGACGCGAGGAGGGACACGCAGGGATGAGGCCTGGGCGAAGAACACCCGACATCCATACCGGACATATGCGCACACACACACACACGCACACACTCTTCGTGCGGGGCGTCGGTGTTTTTTTTTTCTGCCTCAGCAAGGGCGAGGAAGAGCGCGCGCCGCGATGGCGCCCACTCAAAAGAGAGTCACATAGACCACGCGGTCCTGGTGCACCAGGACCAAGCTGTCGGCCGTGCTGGCCAGGAAGGTTCGGTCGGCCAGGCTCGGCCCCGGGGGCGCGGCCGGTGGGGCCACAACCACCGGCGGACCGGCGACCGGCACCGGGGCCGGCGTCGACTGTGGCAGAGTCGGCGAGGCACTCGGGCTATCAGGCGCGACATTGAAGAGGCGCATGTCCATCGAGGAGTCCCCCGGGGTCGGGGCCCGACCGAGGCCCGGAGCCGGGGGCGATGTGGATGACCATGCGGAGATCGACCCCATGCGCATGGAAGACAGGCCGGCCCCGCCAGCCCGGACATCGACCGCCTGGGCTGGCGGCTGGTAGCGCCAGATGTCCGGCTTGGAGAAGAGCCGCGGCGACACGACAGGCTCGGCGGGAGGCATGGACGGTGGCTCTGTCGAGTTGCTCATTTCCGTCTCATCCACCGATTCGATGACCAGCGGCGCCACACCATCCAACTCGAAGGACACATCGCGCCAGCGACGGCCGCCGGTGAGCTCAGCCTCGAAGAGGCGCCCCAGCTGTTGCGAGGGCGACAGACCACCAGCCCCCGGCAGCATCGACCCCGGGGACAGGGATCCCATGTCCCGGGAGGGGTGTCGAAGGGGCGAGCCACCGCCGGGACCTACACCAGGCCCTGGTGGGGTGCCCCCTCCGAAGGGGATGCCGCCGAACACCGGCGACACGCTGAAGCTCCGACTTCCAGGGCCGCCGCCGCTGCCGACCGAGGGCGGAGTCGACGATCCACTGTGGGGCGTCGAAGAGATGCCCCCGGGCCTGGAGCCGGGTTCTCCGATGTCCAGCAGGGGGAAGCCCATCAGGGGAGCCGAGGCACTGGAGGCGATGGGAGGCTCCCCGGTGCTGAGTGGCGGGGCGGCCAAACCGGCCAAAGTCGCCGGCCGGGGGGCAGTCTGATATTGGTGCAGATTCAACCGGAAGAGGCACGGCTCGAACAACCCCGGCGGGGGGGCCCAGTAGCTGGCCGAGTTTCGCGCTGATGAGGGAGACCGCCCGACGGTGGAAGCTGTCGCGGCGACAGCCGCCGCGGAGGCCACCGCCGCCGCTGCCGCCGCCGCCGCCGCCGCAGCAGTCGCCGCCGCCTCGCCAGCTCGCGGCAAATGCGGGTAGTGGTAATGGTGGGAGGCTGCCCAGAGGTCGAGTCCCGCGGCGTAGGCGGCCAAATTGGCCCCCGGGATCGGTCCCCGGGCGCCGGGGCCCTGCCGTGTCCACACTGCCAGGCCGGTGTGCAGGCGAATCCACCCAACCGTATCCGGCGCCGAGGGCCAAGTGCCAAACTCCAAGCCATATCGGAAGTAGGAGAGAACGCGCGAGGCAGGCGCATGACCCGCCAGGTGCCGAGCCGACTGGGACACTGACACACAGGGTGGGATGTCCCCGGGGAGGTCGGTTTTGGCATGGGCGGCACCGGCGACCGGCGACGGACCCGAGGAGCCCAGGCCGCCGGCACTGTTCACGCGTCCAAGACCGGCCGAAGCCAGGCGCGGGTTGCCTTCGGGGCGGATGCCACCCTCCGGATTGGCAGGATGGAAGGACCCGCCGCCCGAGACATCAGAGCCAGTCAACTGCCAGGCGGCCGACACATCGGCGGCATTGTCCACGAACGAGCCGAAGGAGGAGCCGACCGGTCGGTCGCAGTCCGGCGTGCCGAGAGTGTCCAAAATCAGCTGCAAAGGGGCGCCAATCCAAATGGTCCGGGTCGAATGCGGCACCGCTTCAGAGGGGAACTACAGCGGAATGTCAGGGGCGGGAGCACAGCGGAGCAGGGGGGGGGGGGGGGGAGAGAGAGAAAGAGATATATACAGATCGAAGAAACCAAAGTGAAAGTGAGAGGGGGAGGCAGGGAGAACGGAGGCACGAAAGGGGGATCGCCGCGAGACACGCCTCGAATGAGCTTACACACACACACACACAGGTTACTGACACACCTTTTGAGTTGCACCACCATCAGAGGCTGACCGAGGGGACCACCAGTGCAGATGGATGGCCGAACGGTCGCGCGCATCCACGAAGAGCGGATACCGCGGAGGGGGCTGGCCGAGATCGGCGGTCAGGCCGGGAAGAGCGAATCCCGGGTGCAGGCGCTGCGAGCTGAATTGGGGGCTGCTGGGGCCGGAGCGACTGGCGGCGAGGCGAGCGGCGGCAATGGAGCCAGGTGTGTCCATCCCCGTGTTTGGGGACTGCCCCCCATGGCCAGGCTCAAGGGGGGCCATCAGGCCGATTGGGCTGATGCGCTCGGCCAGGCCGGGCTGCCCCAGAGGAAAGGTCTCGAGCAGATTCCGCACCGCCTGAGATGGGCATTCGGTGAAGTGAGCCAGGCGCTCGATGGCAGACTTGAGATTGATGAACTCCGAGCTGAACAGGGCCACCCCTGACAGGTGGTGCTCGGCGGAGAAGGAGAATTCGGCCGAAATCCATGCGGACACTGGTTGAGTGGGGACGAGAAAGTCAGTCGCATGGTCGGCGCAGAGGCGCAGGGGGATCAAGTTGGTGTGCACCATTGCAGTGATAGACACGATCGGTATCCTTGTCTTCGGGTGTATGTGTGTGTGTGTGTGTGTGGAGGCAGGGGAGGAGGCAGTCCGGGCGGTCAGAAGGACCCATAAGGGAGGCAAATGGGGGGCGGCGGGGGGGGGGGGGGGGGGGGAAAGGGACGGGACTGGCGGAGGAGATCGCACCATTGGCTGACTTGCCGGGAGAGGCGGGGCTCAGGGGCCCAGTGTGCTCGGGGTTGGTAGGGGAGCCTGGGCTTTGTCGGGCACTGGGCCAGATGGTCAACAGATCCCCAGGAGAGAGAACAAGCTGGACAGGAGAAGAAGACAAAGGTCCGGGCAGGCGGGTCCAAGACAGAGGACAATCGGAGATGCGTCAGCATGTGCGAGCGCACATTCACATCTACTTATGTATATGTGCGCAAAGATATATATATATACACACACGTATATATATATGCATGGAGGCGTGGAACAGAAGATGGAGGCTGCCGCAGGCATCCCGACGGTCGGGCACGCACCTGACCCGACATGTCCGGGCATTGAATCTGCAGGAGGAACCAAGAGGGGTAAAGCGCCGGTCGGAGCGGAGATCCCGGGGGAGCATGGCACGACCGATCGCCAAAGAGAGGATCCATGCCAACGAGCTGGATGGCCAGCAGACGCTGAGAGGCAATGTCAAACATGAAGTCGATCCCCGGCGAGCTGGCCCCTTCGGAAGTGCAGGACACCGACGCGGCGGCGTGCACCGGCTCCAGGCGAATGGTCATGTGCTTGCCCAGCGGGTCGTTGCCGCTGGAAATCAGTCGCACACACCAGGGGCAGGCGGCGGCCGCGGCGGCGGCCGCAGCCACCGTCGCCGACCCAACCCGAGCCCCGGACGCCAGGTCCAGGAAGGGCTCGTCGCCGGAAGCCCGCTGGCGTGTGCCCGAGCCAAAGCCACCGGTCGGAGCAGCCGCCGACATGCCCTGCAAGAAGGGAAGACTGCTCAGGCCATAATCCGCCACCAGGCTGGAGAGAAGCCCGGAGGAGTAGGTCACCTGCGGAGGGGATGATGCCTCAGCCGGGGCGGGGACCTCGTCGAAATCCTCGTCTCCGGCGTCCAGTGCGGCGGATACTGTCACCGCGGTCATTGCGGTGATCAGGCGCTCCAGCACTCGGAGCGTGTAGGAAAGAGACTGGCCACAGTGATAGGGGGAAGAAGGGGGGGGGGACGGGGAGGATGGGTGTTATTAGGAGGCCAAGTTCTGGCAACCCAGGAGACGCAGGTGAAATCCAAGGGGTGCGGGGGGGGGAGCGTGTGCAGCCGAACAGGGGGGATACGCACATCCATCAGGCGAATGGGGAATAGCGACAGGTCTGCAGGCAGCAGGGCGATGCTCTCGGACAAGGTGGGAAGCCGGTCCAGCACGGGTGCGTGGTCAATCGGACGGCCATCTTCCGGCCCGAGCCGGGTTTTCGAGAGGGATCGTAGATCGCGCAGGGAGGCCGGTTGAACGATGCCAAAGACCAAGGTCCCATGGCCGATGTCCAGACTGAGCGCCAATCGCGGCGACAGAACCGGGGCCGGAACTTCGGCAGGGTGCATTTTCTTTGGGGCGGCGGATCTGTTCGGCTGGCGGTGATATGCGTATGGTAGATCGGCGCCGGTCTGGGTATCAGGGTGTGCTTGTGGGGGTATTTGGATGTGGGAGAGGGGAGATGGGGTGTCCTTTCGCCGGGGGCCAGAGAATGGATGAGAGGGGGAAGAGTGGGCCCTGGAGGGTGGGCGTGGGCGAGGGAAGAGAAGGGGAGGAGGGGAAGGGCAAAGTGAGAGGGGGGGGAGAGAGAGAGAAACAGGAAGGGAGGAGGCGGAGACCAGGAGAGGGGAAATGGATGCCCCCATAATCAAAGCGAGGCGAGGGCCGGGGACTTTTTTTCTCCCACCAAAGGGGGGACACTGCCTGCCGCCGGGGTCCGGCTGGCCTACTAGCCCCGCGCAAAGGAAATGTTCAGATCGCGGCTGGCCCGAGGGAACTTCCCGATCCGGTAGACACCACCTCCCCCCTCTGGCGAGAATGGCACGGGGGGGGGAGGGGACGCGGGAGCCGGTCGATCACCACCCGACCGTGGGGGCGAGGAGCCCTGCGCGTTTTTTCTTTCCTCCAGGGCAATTAACCATTCTCTCGACTCGACGAGACCCCCTCCTTCGGCCCGGGGGCCCTCCCTCGGCCTCCTCCGCGTTCCCCCCCCCCCCCGGGCCCCCCCCCCCCCCCCCCCCCGTGCGTCGCGATCCCTGTGCGCGTTCTGACTTCCACCCGGAACGGAAGAGAGAGAGAGAGAGAGAGTGTGTGTGTGTCCGCTGCACGAAGCAACGCCCGTCCCGGGGCGTGCGGGGGATTCACCCGGAGGGAGAAAGACGGGAGAATGCATATATGCGTCACGTGATCACATCGATCGGGGACTGTTCATGTCTTCTATTGTTTTCTGGCGGGGGTGGGGGCCGAGGGGGGGGGGGGAAGCCGGGCACGGCTGTTGTCGCTCGCCGGCGTGTGTTTAGTCGTCCAGCTTCGGGATGAAGCCGGCAGCCTGGACCAGGTCCTCGGGGGGGAAAATGTCCTGGGTCAGGGTCATCAGGCGCTTGAGGCAGTGAATCCACCGGCGAGTGCGTTCATCGTTGAGCACATCTGTTGGCCCAGTGTGCAGGGCGGCGGGCATAGGGCCGGTCAGTTAGCGTGAGCAGGGGCGTGGCGAAGGGAAGAGGAGAGGGACAGATGGGACGCACGGGCCACTTGGTTGGAAGAAATCTTCTCACGAGCAGAGCGCTCGTGAATACCCACCTATTGGCGCGAGGGGGGGGGGGGATTGAGGAGGTGATGTATGTGAGAACATACAGTATAAGCATACATGCGTGCGTGTGCGCGCGCGCGTGTGTGTGTGTGTCCCGAGGAAGGTTCACACAGGCGCGTACCATGGTTACACCCATGGGCCAGGGGGCATTGCCGATACTCATCAAATAATAGGTGTCCAGGGCATTGCGGTACTCACGCCGCTGGAGGAAGTCACAAATGCGCGTCAGGTGCTGAAGCATATCTTGCTCCAGCGTCTATAGGACAAGGGAACCCCAAAGAGAGGGAGAGGGAGAGAGAAAAAGCGAGAGGGAGAGAGGGTGAAGGGAGAGGGGAGAGCATCCACACGGTCAGCAAAGGGCAATGATGGACATGAAGGGACGACGGGAGGAGCGATGGGAGGGGCGAAAGAGGACGCACCCGCCGGCGGAGATGCCGAAGGAGAGGCTGGATGTGCAGCTTGGTGTCCTCATAGACGCGCCGATCATCACGGCCCTGACGCGAGCGCTGCTCGTAGTCCGGCCGCGAGAGGAGGCGCTGGTCCCACATGTTCGTTAGGAACTGCGTGCGTGTGTGTATCAAAGGAGAATGCGCATGCGCGTGTGTCAGCGAAAGGAGGGATGGCGTGGCGGCTGGGGGTGCGACTCGAGGAGCAGGAGGAGACCCATCGCAAAGAGCGAAGGGGAGTAGGGGAGAGCCAGGGGAGGAAGCGTGGGGAGGATGGGCTAACCTTGAGATAGTCGTGAATCAAAAGTGACACACGGTTGGTGCTCCGCCGGTAGACCTCGTCGTCAATCCGGTGCTCGAACTGGCAGTCAAAAGTCAGCACACGGGCAAAGATGGGCGAGGGGGGAGGGCAGGATGACGGGGAAACGCACCACACCGGTGGCGGACTTGCCATCGGTATCGGCGGGTTTGCCATCGGCGCTGGCGCCGGAGGGCTGGTCATCGGCATCGCCGCCAGTCTTCCCCGGGGTGGGCGCATCCGACGAGGAGGTCAGGGTGGCCTGGCGCATGGATTGCGCCTCGAGCTGCATGTCGATACGGGCCATGGTCGAGCGGGTGAGGTTTCGCTGGCCCTCGGAATCACCACCGGCACCGGTGGTCTCCAGCTCACGAAGACGCGTTTCGCGCTCCTTGTCCGACTCGCCGAACAGGCGAATCGGCTCGCCCAGGCGCCGCAACCGGCGGACCACCTCGCGCGTGGACAGCAGCAGCCCGGATTCCGGAGCAACAGGAGGAGTCGGAGCGGCGAATGTGTCCGACTCCGCCGGAATAGCGGCGTCCTCCACGCGGGGAGCCTTACTCGAGGGCTCGGCCGAGTCGCCCTCGCGTGGGCGCTTCTTTTCGTCGCCTTCGTCGACCGGGGCAGCCTCGGCCGGCGCCGAGGGGGACTTCTTTTCCGGAGCAGGCGGGGCCTTATTCAGCTCCCCGCGACGACGGAAGCGCATGGCGGCCGGGGCATCGGGAGGCGGGGCATCGGCTCTCGTCGACTTGGACATGATTGCCTCGTCCAAGGCATCAAAGAAGGACATGATGGCGCACGGCGAAAGGAAGGCTGGGGAGGATCCGCGAGACAGTGGGAGGAGGGGAGGAGGGGCAGAGAGGGAGGTGCAGATGTGAAGGGGCAGTCCTAAAACCGGTGATGCTCCGCTTCCGGACGAATCTTTGCCAGGGAGCCGGGTGGGCCGTGTCGATCGTTGGCAGCTGGCTTCGCCCCGATCGGCCGCCGACTTGGCTGTTTTTGACGCCGAAAGGGGTTTTTTCAAATCCCCCAAGCATATGGAGGGGGGGGGGGGGGGGCAGAAGGCTGGCTGTGGCCTCCGGGGGCCCTTTTTGAAGGAGATGGCCCGATGGTGTGTCTGCGTGTGACTCGTGTTGTGGCTTGCATCTCGCATCTTGTTGACGCATCCCCCAGATGCGCGGTCCTTCCCTTTTGCGTGCCGTCCTGTCTCCTCGCCGATGTGTGTGTGTGTGTGCGACCTGGAAAGCGCATCTCCGAGGCGTGGAGGAGAGGCGTGTCCCGGATATGGAGAAAAAAGGCACCCCGTCGTCGGGCGTCGCGGCTTGCCCCTTACCCCAGCCGCACCTCCTCTTCGCCTCTCCCCTTACTCCACCTTTCAACCCCTTCCCCCTCTGCCGCATTCGACGCGCAGCCTCTCCCACAACATGGCCACCCGTTACCTGTGGGGCTCCCCCTTCGCCCGTCGGTCGACCGTCGCCTCCGGCATCCTGGCCATCGTCTCTCTGACCCTGTACAATGTGACGGTCCCCGAGGAGGACGAGCTTCTGGAGGTATGCACGAGCCTCGCGCGCTCCCCCCCCCCCCCCCCCCCCTCAGCGGGAAAGGACATGTCTCTGGAATCCCCGCTCGCTATCCCCGCGTCCCTACTGACTCCTCGTGTCCATCCGGCCCTTCCACTCGCTCCGCCGATGCCGATCGCGCTGATCCCAGCGCATGAGCCCGGACCTTCGCCAGCGGGCCTTCGACGCGACGCGCATGCGCAATGAGGACCCCTCCGAGACCCAGAGCTCCAAGTTCATGTCCGTCCTACAGGACGCCGCTCAGCCCAACAGCGTGCCCGTGTGGCACCAGAAGCCCGACCCCAAGGACCAGGACATCGGGCGGCTGTGAGCGCAAAAGCAGAGCACCTCTCGCAATCACATCGGCCCAGGGGTGCACGCCATCCTCCCCCTCCGGTCTCCCTGCGGCGTATATGTGCGCCTGCTTCTCTGTGTGGTGCTCCAATAGAGAATAAAACGCCCCTTGGGGCCGGGGGAATAAGATAGCGACGAGTACCACGGGCCATGTTGACCGTCGCCGGAATCTCTCCCTCCCTCCCCCGACAAAAGAGGTGGAAGGGGGGGGGGGGGGGGGGGAAAGAAGAGGGCGGAGGAAGG